TGGGGTTCCAGCTCTCCCTCTGTGCCTCTCCCTGCAGAAAACCCTGCGGGACAAGGAGCTGGAGGGGCTGCAGGTGAAGATCCAGCGCCTGGAGAAGCTGTGCCGCGCGCTGCAGACGGAGCGCAACGACCTCAACAAGAAGGTGCAGGACCTGTGTGCCCACACAGAGCTGCTGGAGCCCCTGAAGGAGGCACCACGGGACAGCTCTGAGGCTGCTGCAGATCCCCCGAGCCCAGGAAAGGCCCCACGGAGCCCGGATCCCACGGGAAGCCTGGCAGAACTGAGCACGGGGCAGAGCGGGACTGAGCAGGGCACTGACTGAGCCCCAGCTGGGTGAGGGAGGGGGGACCTGGGAGCTGCTTTAGATTCCACTCTCCCTGTCCTGGGCCAGCTGGGAAAAGGACAGGACACAGCCCTCCTGGGGATGGGAGATTGCCTAGTTTAGGTTTTTGGAGGGATTTTTTTAAAAGATTTTATATATATATATACATATATATATATAAGATATATAAAAATGTGCAGGGCAACAATTTATATCTATGGAAAGAAGCAGAAGGGCCCAGCTCCCTGCCTGTGTGAATATTGAAAATCTGGAGGCTCAGCTGATTGTCCCTCTCACTAAAGGACCTGGGGACAGGCACAGGGACAAGGGACACGCCACCACCACCACAAGGACTCCACTCTGGAGTGACAGCAGAGCTGGGAGGATTCCAGAACATTCCCAGCACTGGATTCTCCCTCTTCCCCCTGCCAGGCAGGAGGAGCTCCTGGTCTGGCCCTGCTCGTGTGTGAGCTGAGGGCACCAGAGGCCGTTCCCTGCTCTCCATGGACTCTGTGTCTGCACTGGGGACCAGGAGAAGCAGCAAAAGGGGGTGCCTGGTCCCTCCCTTGGGATTTTTTTTGCTCTTGCCAGGCCCTGCCAATCTCAAAACCGCCTTATAATTCACAGTTGCCTCTTTGCTGAACGCACACGTGCACAAAGTGTATTAAACAGTTATCCCAAAGGTCTCATTCCCAAGTGTTGGCATCGTTGTGCACAGGGACTGGGGAGGTGCCCCCCAGCCCTGGAGGCATCCACGGAGCTGGGACTGCAGGAGGATCC